CCCTGGAAGAAATGTTAAAACTCCATCTCTCCACGCACTTCCTATTCCTTCCCCAGTCACTGAAGCCCACTGAGCGACGAGCTCCAGCAAGTTTGTGCAGGAATTCCCAAGGCTCAAGGTAGAGACTAGTCTCTACCTGTAGCACCAACACCTCTGCTGCCTGGTCCCACAGCACACTGACCCCACACCCACCAGAGCTGACTTCTGCTCCTCAGCTGCCAGCAGTCCCTTCCAACATACAACACCATACCTCTGCTTCCAGCGCTTGTCCCAGGTCACATCCTTCATATTCTCTGTACTCGGGGACAAAAAAATGAGGCTTCAACTCAAACCTGCATCGCCTTCAGGATACGGGGACTCAGCATAGTTGGAGGTGGGGGGATTCCAGCAGAGCCTCAGCCTGCCCCTCGCCCACATGTACAGGACAGAAGGTGCTGGAAAGCACCATCCTCTCCCTGCGTCAACCCAGGAAAGCCAGGCAAAGAGTATAAACTCTGCCAACAGTCCATGCTAAAGAAAGGAAAAGAAAAAGGGTTTCTGGCTTTGTTGTTTACACCTCAGAACCATCTCAAGGCAAAAAGCAGTGAGATTTTCCACCTGAAAATATGGGGCAACAGGTCTGGAAGAACAGAGCTTCTGAGCACGATAAAACCATTACACCTCCCTTCTGGCTCTGAATTGGATTAGCACTGACCTTTCAGAGCCCAACTAACAGCAAGACTTTCCAGCCTCTGGACTGGGAAGGGGATCGAGTCCCCAGAGCCATGGCCATGCTTCCAGGGGACCTGCAACCCCCACAGCAGTGCTGCCAAGCTCTTCCAAAGGGAAGCTTCACAAAATCCAAGTTCAAACCAACCTTAATGCGTGTTTATTAAGTACAGAACATCTCTCTCGGGCTGACAAAGCCTGGCCATCACCTGTCAACTGTCTCATTCACTGTCTGGAAAGCAAAAGCCAGGCCTCCCTCATTAAAAACCATTACATAAGGTTAAATAACAAAGGGCCACAGCACATGTGGGCATGTAAAAGTGAACAATCACAGAAAGTAATGCTCCTTTCCTCCAGCCTCTTGGTGTCTCAAACATCCCAAAGAGCCCAACCAGCACTTCATTTCCAAGGCCTGCCTGCAACAATGTCCTGGCTCACCCCAAGCACTGCTCTCTCTGGTGTTCAACTTACTGCCACCTCCACCCCACAGCCACCAAAGGGATGCCAGCCCTTCCTGGCTCTGTCCCCACCGGCCCGGCTGGATTCTGCTGCCTGACTGACATTGGAGAGGAAGCTGAGGTCTTGAACCCTTCCCAAGGCTGAGGCTCAGCCCCTCCGGACCTCACGGGCCAGGACTCCACTTCCCTCACGTCACCATCATCACGCAAGTCCCCTCAGCAGACGAGCTCATGGGAGCCCGTGGGTTTCTCACAGCTGAGCCAGCCATGACCTTCCTTTCCTACAAGTGAGGATGTTTATGCTGCAACATGTTAAGTGACATGGTCTGACTGCAGCAGAGAAGGCAGGTGTCACCAGGGGACTGCCTGGAAAATGCAACTGTCACCGATCTTCCAGCAGAATACAGACTGCATGGGCACCTCGGAAAGCTTCCTGCACACATGGAGAACATTTGTCCGTCTTTGTGGAACCAAAGAAGCCAATTTAAAGTCTTGAAAGAACTAACTGGATTCCTCTGCTCCAAGAGCAAACTCTCCTTAGTGTAGGCCACAAAAGAAATCATGGACATCTTGCTCCACGTAGCATTTTGAAACACCTCCAAAGTCTGACCTACAAGCTTCAGCTTACCTGAAGAACCATTTCCTAAATGACACAGAGTGGGATCACCTGGAGCGCACCCATGTGCTGCAGGCTTCCCTGCAGGAGGCAGGAGACACGTACTGCACTCACACCCTGTGCTCTGCACCCCAATTCCCCCTCTGTCCCAGCAGGACTGAGGGGATCACAGCTCTGATCCGAGACAAGCCTTGAAAAGGCAGCCCCACGTCTCACCCTGGTAGCTGATGGGGTAGTGAAGACAAGGCAACAGACAGCTGGGAACATTTCAGCTCGATGCATGCTCTGCAGGAAGCTTTTTTTAAAGGCAGTTATTAAGAATAATGCATCACCAGAACATGCAAGGTAGGGGCTGGCCAACAGGAAGGGCTGCAGCCTGCGCAGGCATTCAGAATTCCCCAGGAGATGGAAGGGCAGCTTAGTGGGAATGTGGGAGCCAGGCAGAGAGCCCCAAGACTCAGCTGGCCCAGCAAAAGTCACCTTTACACCTTCCTCACAGCCAAGTCCTACTTCTTTCTCTACAGCGACAGATCAGCTGCAGACAGACTGCCCATAGGAAGCATAAACATCCAGTGAAATGAAACCCCAAAACTATTTATAAGCACACAGCTTTTCTAACAGGAAGGTAACTTCTTCTCCAGCAGAATCCTTGAGCTGCTGACACTGGCTCCTGCTCCTCCCTTTCCAGCTGACAGGGTAGAGCAGGACCAAAGCAGTCTCCAAACCACGCCACGTCTGGTCTGGGCTCGGGAAGGAGGGTCAATTTCACAGCTTCTCACTGCGCCCAAGACAAGCCAAGTCTGCCAGTCAAAACCCAATTACAGGGCTGTGGGCAGAGCTGCTCCCACAGGCTCCGAGGAAAAAGCCGTTACAAGCACATGAAGGAAGCTCCTGCACTGGTACCCAAGTCTCCCCTCACTCAGCAGCACTGTGAGGGAAGAGGGTTTGAGTCCTGATGCAGCTGGAAGTCACAGGTGTAGCGGAAGCCAAACCAGGCCACTGCAGCCTGGTACCAAACCTCGTGTTCACCAGCCCTGCTGAGCCAAAGGAGAGCATCTCTTACACAGCCCTGAGCTCTGCACCTCTCCTCTACACACCCAAGAAGGAGCAAAGCTTGCTGCTCACCAGAGGCTTCCTCACCACCTCCAGGAAGCCTTTAATGCCTCTAGTGCTGCAGCTCTTCTACCTGAAAAGCACAGATAAACAGCTTCCTGCAAGCGCTGGTCCTTCTAGCAGGCTGTAAAGCCCCCAGACTGGATGCTAGGCACATACCTGGATGGAGCAGCCAAAGCAAAGGCTTGCTGTTCCAGCACAGCTCATCAGGGCTCCTCCTGGCCAGGAAAACCACGGGGGGCAGGGGGAGAAAGCTACAGAGCACCATCAGGCCTGAGTCCAGTAAAGATGTTTACTGGCAGTTGCTCTCAGACATGGTCTCTTCCAGCCCAGGGGGGCTGGAGGGGGTGGGAGGAAAAACACTGATTGTCAGTGAGCACAGCCCTCATGTCATTCCCATTGATCCGCTGAGTCACTCCCGTATGAACAGTTTTGACCACACTGGGGCTGCACAGGAGCTTGGCAGGGGAATACAAAGCATGAGGTGATGCGAAGCCTCCCCACGTACCAACACCAGCGGAGACAAGCACTCGCAGGGAAGCACCCAGAAACCTGCTGCACTGCAAGTGCCAACTTCCTCCTCTCTGCTCGCTCTGCTCAAGAGTGCTGCAACAACGAAAGCAACCCCAAACCCACTGCACAGAGCTCCATTCAGCAGGACCAGAGAAACTGCTGCACAAAAGAAAGTCTCCCCTGCAAACCACCAACTGCACCCCAGTTGTTTTGATGCAACTGTAAACCAGAACAGCAGCTGGTTTGGCAAAGAACCAACACAACTGATTGATAAGGCCTCACAGATTTGTAAGCTAATGAGAAGGAGATCAAACCCTGAGCAGACATGGGAGGGCAGCTGTCCCTCCAAGCTAAGGAGACAAACCCCCAGGGAGAACTGGGGGCTCCCCAAGCGCAGAGACCACCACAGAGCCCAGAGAAGCTGCTACCAGCCAGGCAGCAGGTTGGGGTTAAACCATCCTCATCCACACAAGACTACAACCCACCCAAAGGCCCCAAAGGTGCCAAGCAGCAACAAAACCATCACCAAACAATGTTCCTCCCTATTGCACCGAATTCAACCAAACCCAAGGCAGCTTTGGCAAGTTCCTCCCAGCATTCGAGCCCATCCCACCACAGAGAAGGACTCTCCACAGGATCCCCACGGAGGCCTCCTGCCCTAATTTACAGCAATTCTTTTTCAGACACACTGGCAAACACCAAACGTTGTCTCCAGTCTGTTATATAAGGCTTGATTTTGAAAGCTCTGTCCTGGAGATAGGGGCTCACTGCGTGTGGCAGGGCAATGGGACAGTCCAGCTGGGAAAGGGACATACACACTCCTCAGAATGCACCTCCAGATGCCAACCACTTGTTGGACCGAAGGAAAACAAAGGGATTAGTTCACAGGCAACTTCCAAACACACCAGTGCAAACCACTCACCAAACTGCTGCTGTTTCGCATAGGGTATCACCTGGCTCTCTGTAACCTGTAGTTTGCTCAGAACACGTTCATTTCATGGCAACTTGAAAGAGGTTTAACGAAGTTTGGGTTTTAACTCCAGAAATACACAGCAGGTCCCCGTGCTGCCCAGAGCCATTCCTCAAAAGAAATGACACCTTCCCAAATATCCCCACAAGTTCGCATTCTTTACCCCCCCAAAAGCCTCACTCAGTTCCCTCTGCCAGTCACCAAACAGGAGGCATAGGCCTCTGGGGGCCTGGCTCCACAGAAGAGCTGCTTCTCATCTGCAAACCCTTCTTCTTGGCTGCCTTAGGAAGGGATAAAGTCAGCTCCTGTCTGGTGGGGGCAGAAGGGGGAGGGTATTTTTCCTGTTTCTCACATTCATCCTCGCTCACTTTGCTAAAAAAAAAGAAGCTTTTTTAAATCCCAGATTCAGCACAGTCCCTTTCCCCAGATAAACACTTCCCAAGCCCTCTGGAAAGAGGAAAGCCACATACAAAGGAGCCAACATCCTGCGAGGCTCCGGCTCCACCGGGCAGGCCGGGGCAGGGCGCGGGCCCGGCGGACACAACCGGGGAAGGCCCAGCCTCATCTCCTGACACCGACCCGGCCCCAAAGGGGCCTTGGCAGAGGGGAACCGCGATCCCGGATGGACCCGGACCCCTTCCCCAGGGCCATGAAACAGGCACGGCCGGGAGGAAAAGGAGCCAGGCGGCGCTGGGCCCTTCGGCCCGGCCCAACCCGAGCCCCACAGCCCCTTCAGATCCCCCGGGCCCAGCCTGACTCCCCCAGGCCCAGCCTGCTCCCCCCTAGCCCCACCACCCCCGCGGCCCCCCCAGGCCAAGCCTGGGCCTCCCCACAGCACCTACCTCGCCCCGTGGCCCCTCCAGCTCTCCGGGCCCTGCCCGGCGCCCACAGCCCCCCAGCCAGCGCCCCGGGCCCGGCCCCCGCCAGCCCCCGCCTGCGGCACCGCCCGGCCCGGCCCGGCCCCCCCACTCCCCGGCACTGCCCGGTCCCGGCCGGGGCCAACCGCAGCAACAGGGCACGGCCCCGGCGCCCCGCGGCAGCCGTTACCTCGGCGGGCCCTCAGCGGCGGGCCCCGCTGCCGCTGCCCCGCGGCCGCCTGCCCATGGCGGCGCCCCCGGCCCGGCTCGCCTCACGCCGCCTCTCGCCTCCCCTCACCACTCCGCCGCCAGCCAGCCACAACGCTACGCCGTCGGCGTAGGCTCCGCAAGCACCCATACGCCCCCCGCCAAGCCGCCGGCGTAAACGCCCTTCCTGAATACCAACTCCAAAGCGGAGAGGCCCGGCGGAGCCAGGCGCAAGCGCAGCCGACAGGAGGGTGGTGGCGCAACGGCGTTGGCGTAAAGTGAGTTGAAGAATAGGAGGCTTGAGGCGAGCGACGGGAGGAAGGCTTTGCGGCAGCGCGGGGGCACTTTACGGCAGACCGCACTTGGCGGCTGCTGGTGGAGTCACCGTTTAACTCCGTGGTGCCCAGAGGTTGGAGGGATCCGGCCTGGCCGTGGGGACAGGCCCCGGTACGGGCCATGGCACCGCTGTAGGGTGAGCTGCAGCCCCGGTGTGGGGTGATCGGTGTGGGATCATAGGATAACCGGATTGGAAAAGACCTTCAAGCTCATCCAGTCCAGCCATTCCCAGCAGTGCCAAGGCCACCCCTAACCCATGGCACTGAGGCCTCCTCTCCACGGTCTGGGAACACCTGCAGGGACGGTGCCTGCAGCCCTGCCCTGGGCAGCCTGTTCCAATGCCTGAGCACCCTCTGGGGCAGGAATTGTTCCTCAGCTCCATCTAAACCTGCCCTGGTGCAGCTTGAGGCCGGTTCCTCTTGTCCCATCCCTTGTTCCTTGGGAGCAGAGCCCAGCCCCTCCTGGCTCCATCCTCCTCTCAGGCACTTGTAGGCAGCGATCAGGTCCCCCCTGAGCCTTCTCTTCTCCACACTGAACCCCCCAGGTCCCTCAGCCCTTCCCCATCACACTTGGGCTCCAGGCCCTGCACCAGCTCCAGTGCCCTTCTCTGGCCCCTCTCCAGTACCTCAGTGTCTCTTGTAGTGAGGGGACAGTGTGGGATGTACTGACCCAGGTATAGGGGTCAGGCCCTGATACATGGCCAAGCACATCACTAGAGCAGAGCCCCTGTGTGGGTACAACCCTGGCATGACATGCAGCCCTGCACTGTTCAGTATCTCCATCAGCAACACAGTGGGATTGAGCACATCCAGCAAGCTCAAGGAAAACACTGAACTGGGTGTTGTGGGTGACACACTGGATGGAAGGGATGGGAACCTAGACAGGCTGGAACCTCATGGAGTTCAACAAGGCCAAGGGCAAGACCAGAAGAGCGAGCTCAATGCTGGTGCTTGGGAGATGGGACCTTCTCAGCACCACCCACACCTCTGCTCTTTGGTCTCTATATAGGACATAATAGCAGCACCTTTGGTAAATGCTTATTGGGCACCTGTAAGAGTACAAAGCACATTGTGCTGCTGTCACACCTGTCCCAGCACAGAGGATGAGCTTCAGCCATAAACATGCTGTTCTTTTAAAGGAAAGAAAAAACAACATCAGGTGGGAGATACTGGAGGAAAACAGAGATTTCACCATTTCCCTCTGCCAAATCACTGTGGTTACCTAGGAACAGACACACTTCTCTGGTGCAGCCAGTTCTTCTCATCAAGCACAGGATGAGCATTTATTGTCTTGTGATCAGAAAAAAAACACAAACAAACCTCAGAGCTCCACAAGTGACAGGAAACATCGCACACAGACACACCACGTGCTGCTGAGCACGACCAGGAGCCAGGTCCAGGTTAATGGTGTTAGAAATCTAATGTAAACACTTAAAAATGTACAGAATCCCAAAGAGAAAAAAACCCAGCCCACCCCAAATATGCAGTGGGTAGTTCAGGCAGAGCGTTGTCAGCTTTCTGGAATTACAGTTCCTGGCACTGAAGAGGATGGAGGGGGGATGAAAGGTGGCAGATCCCAGCCAGAGAGGTTCATCCAAGCTCTGTGGAGATCTTGGCAGTGTATATGAATGGGGCACAAGTTCGGTGTTCTGCTCCAACCATTTTAGTGGGCTCTTCTCTGGCATCAAGCATTTTCAATATGAATGGGGATGGGTACTTCAAAGCAACACCAAGGGGGAAGAAAACCCAAGGAGAAGCAAGATGTGGAGTCCCCAGCACTGCTGCTCCGCTTGGTTCCTCTGAAACCTCCAACCTTGCACACTAAAAAAGCACAGACACCAATTGCTTCTGAAGAACTTTGGCAAGAGGCTGAGGATGGCAAGGGGCAGGGCTGGAGAGAGCATGGCACTCTGGAGCACTGTGTTCCAGCTTCCAGACATGGCCAGTCTTGGTTTAATGAGCCCCATTAAACCCTCCTCACTCCTGTAGTGCAATCGTATTTCCAGGGAGTTAGTTGCCAGGCAGGTCTCCTACCATTGATGGCAAAGCAACAAAGAACACTTAAAATCACACTTGACACAAGACAAAGGCACCTAAAAGCTTAACAATGGGATCAGGTTGTGTTGTGGTAAGTTCAAGCACATTGCACATTCACAAGGCAAAAGCCCTCACGCTGTGTTCCCAGCTCATGGAACACCCAAGCATGAGGCAGGGGCTGCAGCAGGACGATGATGGTGCTCTGCCCTCTGAGTCACGGTCACTTTGGCCCTAGTACCAAAGGTGTCACGCAGCCTCCGAGCTGTTCTGCACTCAGTATTTACAGTGTGACACAGGAAAAGTTAATAGAGCAAATGGGGAGTTGTGCAGGGGCAGTGGGGAAGGAAGAGTGCTGCTTTGTGAATGATTAATTCTTTAGATAAGGCACATGGAGAGACAGTTTTCAAAAGATCACTTGCAAATCAGTTCCACTGAGCCAGAACAACCTCCCTGGCCCTTTCCAGGAGCCAAGGTTGTTTTCCAGTTACTCAGTGTGACTACAACACCTCTGGCAGCCTGTTGGCAGCCTCTGGGTCTGACCCACAGGGTGCCCAACACCTCCCAAGCCTCTGCAATGGACCACTGTGTCCTTTACAGGACTATTGGCCAGAACTTTCAGAGCCAAAGACTTTGAACTCTCACCTCCTATAAAAAAAATCTTGGGAATCGACCTTCCAGTTTTGATGTTTGAAAACATAAAATAATAAATTCACAGCAAGCTGTTGAAAGGGAAGAAAAAACTGCAGGACCTGTCTGCAGCAGGATCTGCTGCCTGGAGGACACAGGGGAATTGGATGGCTCAGACTCCAGGAGTCCTGATGTGCATGCACAGAACAGAGATGAACGATGAGATGGATGCTGCCTCTCAGGGAAAACAATCCCTGCCAACAACTCTATCCTCTCTCAAGCTGCTTCTTGGAGAAAGGCAAGAATCAATTTCTCCCCACTCATACATGGAAGGAAAGTGCTGCTGGCTACACAGACACAGACCAGGTCTGCCCAGTAACACCAGTTACAAGGCCTAACAAGCTTTCCTTTGCCTACCAGACCCCACTGTGTGTTTGGATTTCAACTACATCTGTAGAAAGCAGAATTCAAACTATTCATTGTAATAGAATTATTCCCAAACCACAGTGGGGGCTCAGCTCTGAAATCAACAACTATCTTGCATCTGGTGGGGAGCTCAGAAAGCTGGTGTCCCAACAGGGCAAGATGTGTCTAGCAGGGCATTCCTTGGGTCAGCACAAAACCTGGATGCCATGTAAGTGGAAGCTGGATGGTGTAGAGATCTTGTGCTGCCTACCTGTGATGGAGTGGCCATCCCCCAGGCAGCCAGCTCCAAAGCCCAGCATCAGCCAGCTTCTCAGTAGTGTTCAGTGGGCTTTGAATCAGGCTTTTAGCAAGCAGTCATTAACCAAATGAGATGAACCTGCACCTTTGAAGCCCACCGATCCTTTTGGCAGCAGGGAAAATAAGACTCCTAAGCATAACAATAGTCCTAGCCAGGCAAATGAGGACTCTGGTGGACTTCCCATCAGAACAACACTCACCCACAGCAAGCACCGTTATCTACAGGATTCTTCACCAGAGGGTGCAAGCAAATGAGGTTGTAGATATTGCAATACCTTCAGTATCACTAGTACCAAATAATTTAGGTGTTGCATTTCCCTTAGAGTGAAAAATTCCAGATTATTCATCCAGGAGAGTAAACACCAGTTGCTACTAATGCTCTGATTGCATTTGTTAAGGACGACTCAGGTAGTGGGAGCTGATGAAGACTGAGCAGGGAAGGCAGAAGGAGCAGTTGTCATAGAGTGTGCCATCGTGGGGAAGTGAAGCCTCTTCATATAGGGTCATGAGAGGATTCCCTCAAGCAAGGGCAGGGAATGGTTGGATCCTCAGTCTGCAACGAGGCAAACACTGGTAATTCAACACAAACAAAAGACTTTCTGATAGGGCCCTGCAGTGCTCTGGAGGTGGCAGGGGCTGACAGCATCTATCTGCTGCAGAGATGAGGAGGCAAAAACCAAAAGAGTCCCCAAGGTGACTGGGGTGCTTGGGGAGGAATGCAAACGATCTTTTCCAATAACAATAATAAAAAAGACCAAAAAGAAGAGAATCCAGGCAGTTTGCAGCTCGTGCTGCTTAAGGCCATTGGTTTCCCGGGGGGTAGTTGGGTACTGTGGGATACTCTGGCAGGCTGTTCCCTGAAAAATTGTTGTACTGGGCCTCCCTGCTGGGGGGGTTCCTCCACGTGCCGCTGTTCCACTCATCCTGAGCTTTCTGAAAGCTTCCACCAGCCCCTCGGTAGATTTTATGTACCTAATGGATGAAAGAGAGAGATCAAGAAGGAGGTCAGCAACATGCACCAACACCTCTCCTCAGAAGAGCTGTAGCTACTTTGGTACTGCAGCATGGATTTGCTTCTCTCTCTGTAAAGAGCTGTATTTCCATGGCACAATAGCACTAAGACTGTAATAATACAGTGAACAGAGGTGCAAATTGATGGTATCAACCCAAGACTTGAACCCAGTACAGCTGCAAGTGTGGGATTCAGGTCAGGGATCCCAAGCAAGGCCACTAGAACTGACACTGCTGCTTCAGCAGGGCTTCCACCTTCCCTCCTCCTCTGCCATCAGCCTACTGAAGTGTTCCAGACCTACCTCCACATCCTGCTGAGAGAACCAAGGACCGCTTCCAATCCTGCCAGTCATTGCTCACTGCAGGCCATCTCAAGATGCTTCACCTTTACCATCAATGAC